ATAAATCTGCTCTCTGACAAATACTTTAATTGAGTTAGATCCCTTTAATCAGAAAGTATTAACCAATTGAAATTGTGCTGTAGGACCCAAGTTCCCAAAACTCTCTCTCTCTCTCTCTCTCTCAAAGCCCTGATATTAAAGTCAGGCACAAAACAAAACCTCTTCCCAGGAGACCCTTCCAAGGGTGACACTCAGCAAAGAAGGGAACTGGAGTCTGAGAACTCAGGGCACGCCTGTGTGACAGAGAAGAAGAACTCAGCTCCAAAGGCCAAGTCTAGGATGACAGGTGTCTGAGCTGAAAACCACAAATCTGCTATTTCTGCTGAAAGACACAAAGTACAAAGAGCAGCTACTGGACAGACGGACCAACCATGTCTTCAGTGACGTTGCCCCTGCCCTCTACTTCTGGGTCACCCAAGAAATCGATGCCTGATTCATCAAAAAAGAAAAAAAGGAACTTGTCCCAGGTCACACCTGCACCAGAGGCAGAGAAGGATACACACCAGATCTCCACTTTTCCTTTCTGCATTAGTCTATAAACTAGTCGCAACAAAATTGTCTCCTCGAACTCACATGGCCTCACAGTAATCATATTTTGCTTACTTTTCTGATCCTCCACCTGCTCAAAAAAGGGAAATAAACCACTGAACAGTGTGGCAAATGCCTATAATTCCAGCAGCTCAGGAGGCTGAGGCAGGAGGATCATGAGTTCAAAGCCAGCCTCGGCAACTTAGCGAGGCTTTAAACAACTCAGGGAGACCCTGTATCTAAATAAAATACAAAATAGGGCTGGGGATGTGGCTCAGTGGTGAGCTCTCCTGGGTTCCATCCCTGGTACCAAAAGTGGGGGCAGGATAAAATACTGAGGGACTAAGGACTCTCAGATGTCAGAGTACAGCTCAGTGGTACGGCACTTGCCTAATATGTGAAAGGCCCTGCGTCCCATCCCCACTGCCATAAGCAAGCAAAAATGAAGTTTGTAACTATTAGCACATTTTCAGACAATGTGTCAGTGCTTCCACGTCACCTTGGAACAGCCTCTGGGACACAACTTCACGGGGCACAGGAGACACCTAATAATTACTCACAGAACACGGGACACATTTTAATTCTAAATTTCTGCAAGGCAACAGTACCTATCAGAAACACATGTTCTTCTAAGCTGATCAATGGGCACCACTTCATGGATGGAGATGCTAAAAGCCTTGTTGGGTCAGAATGGGAAAAATGTCCTTTGGCTACAAAGTGACCCTCATCCACTCTCTGCTCATCCTCTGTTGTTCTCTCCTCCATCCTTATGTAGACCACAAAGGAAACCCAGAAATGCATGCAGGGTGACCGCAAAATCATCTAGACTCCTGTTCCCCAGAGGTCACGCTGCTAACCTAACTGTCTGCAGACACTCAGTCCAGGCATCCAGTCTGAAAACCTCCGAGAAAATGAAAATAAAGACCCTTTCATTTCTGTTGTCTCAGAGAAATCACTGCCCAAGTCAGATGAAGACTAACTTCAGGCCAGAGAGGTTGCCAATGCTAACCTGCATTTTCCAAAACTGAATCGGAGTGAGAAGGGAGTCAGTCTCTCTCTCTCTCTCTCTCCTATACATATTTCAACACAGTCTAATGGAATAGCAGGAACAAGGCCAGACAGCCCCACTGCTACTGGCACCGGGGCCAGGGAACAGAAATTTATTTTTAGTCAGCAGAGCAAGGAGTGATTCAAGTGCCACAGGCCCGGGGTGCAAGCTGGGGGCCTTCCTGCCTCTGGCATGGGATACCTCACAGTCACCTACCATGCTCCTTGCTCCAAGGGCAGGGGGTGGACAAAGAAGCCTTGGAAGGACACACTTGTCCCATCTCAATTCTACCTCTCCATTTTGCAACTTAGTATACATTTGGGGAGTCGCACCTTCTTCTCTAGCAACTCCAAGATATGCTCTGCTATCCTGGCTCCCTCACCGAACAAGAAAAGGAGGAATGAGTGGCCAAATGGCCTGGGAGCTTGTTAAAAATGTGGTTTTGGGGGATGTGGCCCTGCATTTCTTCGTTTGGGGTGGTGTTGGGGGTGGGGTGTGCCAGGGATTGAACCCAGGGACACTTGACCACTGAGCCCCATCCCCAGCCCTATTTTGTGTTTTATTTAGAGACAGGGTCTCTCTGAGTTGCTTAGTGCCTTGATTTGCTGAGGATGGCTTTGAACTCACCATCCTCCTGTTGCAGCCTCCCGAGCCTCTGGGATGACAGGCAGGCAACACCGCACCCGCCTGGCTGTGGCCCTGCATTTCTAATGGGCCTGATGTGGATATGATACTGCTGGTGCACAACTTGGGCTCTCAGGATTCATGAGCATCTCCATGCACTTGGCTTGAGGAACACTCTGGGGGTTTCCATATCCCCAGCTCACCTCTCCAAAAGCTGACTCATTTAATGTAGCCCACGATTAGGCACCTTGCAGGTGCTGCGCACAGAACAAGTGGGCACAAAAAAGAAAGTGAACCCTCTGCTCATACTTCAAGGGCCATGGTTTTCCTGCTTTCAATATTCATTCCTTCACAGGGAACAAAGACCGTCCTACAATGCCTGTGGGCCTACAGTGAGGTCTCATCAAGACCCAAGGAGTTATGTGAGAACCAGCCACCATTAAGAGCCACCAAGTATCACATATTTGCTAAGTGACCCTCATGACAGCAAGTGCTTCATGTATATTCTGCTTCCTTCTAGGCCTGGCCCTGTCCACTTGTAATCCCAGTGACTCGGGAGGCTGATGCAAGAGGATAGCAAGTTTAAGGCGAGCCTGGGCAACTTAGTGAGGCCCTAAGCAACTTAGCTAGGCCATGTCTCAAAATATAAAAGAGTCTGGGGATGTGGCTCAGTGGTAGGGTGCCCTGGTTCAATCCCTAGTATCCCTCCCCTCCAAAAAAAATGTCAGAATCACATTTTTCTTTTATGAGATTCAGAGATGACGTTAACTGTCCAGGATAGGGTGAGCCACCACCCAGCCCCTCCCCAGGCTTTCCTGAAGAACCCTCAGCAGCCTGGAAAAAGGTTCAGCTCCAGAGAATGTTTCAAAAGGCTGCTCCCTGAACACAGGGCCCGCAGCCAGCCAAAATCCAAGATTGACACGCTAACCCGAGATCTTTTTAATAGTGCCTTCCTGCCGTATCCCCCTGCTCAGCCTGCTGAGTTCCAGGGTTCCAGAGAAAAGGACGCACACAGGTGAGCAAACGAATTGTAAAACTAGCAAAATCAAGATAAAGTAAAAATGTGCAGGGCTGCAGTGTGGACAGGAAATTCAGTAGGAAGGGGGTACTCTGCTCGGGAAGCTGCCCAAAAAATCTGATGGAGCGCATGGCTGGACTCCCACCTGGGAAGACCTGTCAGGCTGCAGGAGCAGGGCCAAGCCAGGTGCCTCGGCCCCAGCAAAGGCAAAAGGCTCAAATGATCACACCCCGGGGCTTCCTCACTGCATTTTTTGGTTAAAACCATTTATGTCCTTTTTGGTTTCCTCTGTAAGAACACCCAGATTTCACTTCAGTCTATCATTGACCATTACAATGAATTCCTCTTTTTTCTGCTGATTTCTGAGGCCAGGAGGCACTTCATTATTTTATTTTTTTTTATTTTTTTATTTTTTTATTTTTTTTTATTGGTTGTTCAAAACATTATAAAGCTCTTGACATATCATATTTCATACATTAGATTCAAGTTGGTTATGAACTCCCAATTTTACCCCAAATACAGATTGCAGAATCACATCGGTTACACATCCACATTTTTACATAATGCCCTATTAGTAACTGTTGTATTCTGCTACCTTTCCTATCCTCTACCATCCCCCCTCCCTCCCTTCCCATCTTCTCTCTCTACCCCATCCACTGTAATTCATATCTCTCCTAAATCCCAACGGCATTTCTTGTAGAAATGGATAAAGCAATCATGAAATTCATATGGAAAAATAAAAGACCCAGAATAGCAAAAGCAATTCTAAGCAGGAAGTGCGAATCAGGCGGTATAGCGATACCAGACTTAAAACTATATTACAGAACAATAGTAACAAAAACAGCATGGTACTGGTACCAAAACAGGAGGGTGGACCAATGGTACAGAATAGAGGACACAGAGACTAATCCACAAAGCTACAACTATCTTATATTTGATAAAGGAGCTAAAAGCATGCAATGGAGGGAGGATAGCATCTTCAACAAATGGTGCTGGGAAAACTGGAAATCCATATGCAACAAAATGAAACTGAATCCCCTCCTCTCGCCATGCACAAAAGTTAACTCAAAGTGGATCAAGGAGCTAGATATCAAATCAGAGACTCTGCGTCTGATAGAAGAAAAAGTTGGCTCCGATCCACATATTGTAGGGTCGGGCTCCAAATTCCTTAATAGGACACCCATAGCACAAAAGTTGATAACAAAAATCAACAAATGGGACTTACTTAAACTGAAAAGTTTTCTCTCAGCAAGAGAAACAATAAAAGAGGTAAATAGGGAGCCCACTTCATTATTTTATATATATATATATTTATTTATTTTATTTTAGAGCCCTAAAAGTAAACTGAGTCTCAGTTCCAAATTCACTGGCACAGAGCTGAGCCTGCTATCTTATAATTCACACAGCTTCCTTTAATTCCAGTTTATTCACCTGAGCTGCAACTTCATGGGTCAGAGAGCAAGTAGAAAAGTCCTAGCGTCCCCCAAATGGGAGACAAGTCAAGGGCTGGAGAGTGGCTCAATGGTAGGGCACATGCTTAGCTAGCATGTGTGAAGCCTGAGGTTCCATCCCCAGCACTGCTGGAAATAAATGGGTGTGGGGGGCAAAACCTCCAGCTTTTGATTCTGCAAAACCCCAGAACAGCAAACAAGGCATTTTCTGTGATGAAGGTCATTCTCCACCAGTGAGCAAGCATGCCACCACAAGTTCTCCTGCCACCAGTGTCAGCAAGCCAAAACCACGGACCCACCATGGCCCAGAGCCCCAGATGGCACTACTCACAGAAAGAGAGACACCACGTGTGGAGAGGCAGCACCCAGGGATGGTATGGCTGTCAACTCATTATTATGGAGGTACCTGCAACAAAAGCAAGAGGGAATGGATCATATGGAGCACTTAAGTTAAGCATTTAGAAACACAAACATACAAGGCCAATCAAAACCACCATGAGCCAGGCGCGGTGGCACAGACCTGTCATCCCAGCAGCTTCGGAGGCTGAGGCAGGAGGATCGTGAGTTCAAAGCCAGCCTCAGCAACTTAGTGAGGCCCTAAGCAACTTAGTGAGACCCTGGCTCTAAATAAAATATAAAAAGGCCTGGGGATGTGGCTCAGTGGTTAAGCACCCTGGGTTCAATCCAGCTACCAAAAAATAGATAGATAGATGATAGATAGATAAATAGAAACCCCCTGCTGCATTCACCACAGGAGGTGTGAAATAAAAGAATCCACAAGTGAGTTTTTAAAGAGAAAGAAGTTCTACGAAGTCACAAAGCCTAACTATTCCTCACACCCCTAGTAAGAAATTAACACTAGCATCAAGTTCAGAAAAGAAATCAAGACTAACAGACATCGAGTAATGAGAATAGGCCCAGATACTGGTTCAGGTCAAGTGTGGCCCCAAGTCCATCCTGGTTGGCTCAATCAATCAGGAAGGGATCTGGAGAGGAAAGACTGTCCCCTCCTGGTTGCTCAGTGCTCTGCCTGAACCACAGGGTAACATGCAGGAACAGAAAGCTGGAGCCCAGTGGCTCACTCCTGTGGGGTTCTGAGATGCTAGTCACATATGGGACCGATTATTTCAATGTCTTCACTATGAAATAACAAAGGGGCTGGACTCAGAGATGCTCATCCATTTGAGGTTCCAGCTTCCCTGGACTCTAATGGAGTCTCTGGATGGTCTTCCAGGAAAACAAACATATACACATGCTTTCTGCACACAGACATTGTGAAAACCCTCTGCAGACAGGATGTGCTCTCCAAGTTCCCTTCCTGTTGGAAGGTCCTAAAATCTCTCTTTCCACCATTGATATCTCTTAATGGAAGGGAAAGCCCATGGACACAGCTTGCCTGGTCTGCCCCCAGAGGCTGTACAATCTGGCCTCCTTACATGGACATGTATTTCCAAATCTGGGAAGAGAATCCAAAAATCAGACTTGCAATGTGAGCCCAAGAAACCTCAGGAAAGCCAAAGCAGTGTCCAGGCATTCTGCTGGGTGACGGGCTTGAAAGAAATTGTACTTGAGATGCAAAGTCAAGGGAATAAAACTGGATTATCTTGCTCTCGATTTTTTAAGGGAGGTACATCTTACACACAGGGCACTCTCTGAAGACAGGCCACTGGCATGACAGCTGTATTCATACAAGTAGAGAACCCACATTTGCCTGAACAGAATCATCTGGTTGTCTGCCATCTTTTACAGAAATGAATAGGAGAAGTGAAAAAAAAAAGAAAAGAAAGAAAGAAAGGCCTTGAATTATCCCATTTGCTTTCTTCGGTGCCAAAGCCAGTTAGGGATGAGGCTTGACAATTACTGGGCCGTAGGACACAGAAATGCCTGTTTAAATAGCTTCATGACTGAAGCATCTGGCAGAGAGAAAGCAGATCCATATCATGTGGCAAATCCTTGTTTGTGTGTTGAAATAGGCAATTAATTATTTTAACAGTCTGTTATCTGACGGTCCCCTGAATCAGATGGTTTCTGCTTCTACCTTTTATCTCTCCCAACCCTGCTTCGAGATCCATTTCCCATCACGGTACTGAAAATTCTCCATCAGTCTTAATCATGACCAGGAAAATTTCACAGTATCTATGAGCACACATATCACGAGAGGACACCCTCCGTTTTCACCAGAGCAAGAAAAGCTCAGCTCAGGCGCCTGCTACCACCAAGGTATCTCCTAGAGATTGACTCTAAAACAGAAGATGAGGTAATAAGAAGAGTAGCAGGTAACTTAACCAAAGGCTTACTATCTACCAGATGAAGCTCTAAGAGGTTTTCAGCCTATGGACTCATCTTTTGGACCGTAGAAGTGGGTCCCAGGAATGTTTCCATTGAAATAAGAGGTGTTAAGTAATTGGACCAACATCACTAGCAGAAAATAGCAGTGGCCCAGGAAATCTGGCCCCAAAGTTATCATTATCCCCTCAGGGGCACTCGACCACTGAGACTCATCCCCAGCTCCTTTTTTTGTATTTTATTTAGAGACAGGGTCTCACTGAGTTGCTTAGGGCCTTGGTAAATTGCTGAGGCTGGCTTTGAACTTGCGATCCTCCTGCCTCAGCCTCCTGAGCTGCTGGGATGACAGGCATGCATCACCACACCCAGCTTGTTTCTTTACGATTGTAGTGAAACCCCTGTATGTATTATGTAAAGTAATCATCACAACAACTTTGAGTTAGTTTCCAGTTATTACTGCTGTTTCCTATATGACACTCATTTCCCAAGTCAGTTTAAGTAACCGGCCAGGGGGACATGGCCAAGAGATGAACAGTGGCCTCAAATCAGAGAAGAGCAATGAGCAAACAAGCCAACAAGCATGAGGCTGGCCAGAAAGCTCCTAATCCCTTAGGTAACATTGAAGTTGTTTTTCTGCCTTGATTTGAATTGGAACCTAAAACTGAGTATGTAAAAACTCTGGCTAATGAGCCTCCAGCCCCCAAACGAAGCTGATCTCCATCAAAGGCCCTAAAACTCTTGCTGAGATATCTGGCTTCTATAAAACTTTTTCTGATGATTCAGGACCAAGAAGTGCCTCAAATGCTTCGGACTATGAATCACGGCCCAACCCAGGAGCTGGAAGGAGGTGTAAGTTAGGTCACTGGGGGCTGCGAGGGTTGCCTGACCCCAGAGCAGAACCCGGACAAGACCTGACCCACTCAATCCTTAAGGTCAGCGGGGACTTGTGGGTCCCTGAATTTTCTCCCCAAACTTACACTTACTTAGCTCGGTTCAAGGGAAAAGTTACATTTAAATGTTACAAAGGACATTTCACAGTACATCATCATCATTTATTATCTTAATGAAGTTTGGCCTTTTAACCAACAATATAAAACCCACCCAAGGAGTATTATGGGGTTATAGCATCTTTTTTTCCTTGCCAGACTTATTGATTGAATAGCTGATAGAGGCACACAGTAAAGATTTCAAACCATTTCAAAAAAGAATACACGGAGTATACAGTGAAAAAAAAGTTCCTGTATCCTTCAGTCTCCTGGCCTGCCTCCAAGGGGAACCTCCTGCTGCAGGCTATGAGATGTGCATGTGTTTTTATTTTACACAAACTTGTGTCTTGTGGGCTATTCTGTACTGCTCTTTTCCCCTCAGTAATATATCTTGAGGAGGTCTTCACAAGTCTTTCAGCCAGCTGCAGAGTAGTCCTCTGCTGGTATGAGTGGTTTTAAAAAAAAAAAAAAAATGGACCCTTTTCTTTACTGATTTATTTCGCCAATTTGTTCTTGGTAGGCAGAATGGTTGTTCCCAATTGCTCCCAACTAGACACAGATCCAACTACTAACAAATCGAGTCAGGAGGAGGGCTGGAACTTTGGTTTCCCTTCTTTTTTTCCCCTTACTTATTAATCTATTTATTTATTTATCGTACTAGGGGTTGAACCCAGGGCTTCATGCATGCTAGGCAAGTGCTCTACCACTGAGCCACATCCCCTGGTTCTTCTGTTTTTAATGTATTTTGAGACAGGGTTTTCCTAAATTGCCTAGGATGGCCTTGAACTTGCCATCCTCCTGCCTGAGCCTCCGGGGCAGTTGGGATTACAGGTATGCATAACCACATCAGCTTGGTTTTGTTTCTTAAGAGGGAGAAAGCCATCAGAAGCACACAGGAACATGATTTCAAGAGACTTAATAACTGAGGTTATGCTTTATCTACTGGAGAATAATGCATACTAAATAATGGCTTTAGCAAGACTTCATGATACATAATTTCTAAAATTATTTTTGTATAATGACAAAGAATATATAGCTCTCCCTTGGTATCTGTGGGGTTAACTGTAGGAACCCCCCCTCCACCAAAATATGCCCAAGACCTTTACAGAAAACTGTAGCAGTAGTTGTATAAATCCTATGCATCTCCTCATATAAACTTTAAATCACTTCTAGGTTACTCTGAATGTTATCTAATGTTGCATAAAGGCTATGGAAATAGTTGTTACATTGTATTTTTAGGGAATAACGACAAGGAGAAAAAAAAGTTTGTATATGTAAATTTTTCTCCAATATTTTCAATCAGAAATTGGTTGAATCCATGGCCATTAAACCCATGGACATGGGGAGGACTGGCTGTGGTCACTTTAACAAGTGCATACAATAATCAGGGTGAACACGGACCCAGTGCCAGGAATCTGTTGCAAACCTGAATGGCAAGCCAACCCTTTCAGGAAAATAGGAATGATCATCTCACCCCAAAAGAAGAAACTGAGACAGAGTGGCAGAAAAGGAATTTTTTCAAAGAGATTACACAGCTTGCATTTTTTGTTTGTTTGTTTTAGTTTGGTTTGGGGGTTTTCTTTCTCTTTTCTTTCTAGTACTAGGGATTGAACCTAGGGGCACTGAACCACTGAGCCACATCCCCAATCCTTTTTCTATTTTATTTAGAGACAGGGTTTTGCTGAGTTGCTTAGGGTCTTGCTAAGTTGCTGAGGCTGGCTTTGAACTTCCAATCCTCCTGCCTCAGCCTCTGGAGCTGCTGGGATGACAGGCATAAGCCACTGAGCCAAGCCAGCTTATGTTTTAAAATCGGATCTCATCGTTCTCAAAACTTGCAGTACCTTTGTTTCCCTTTTCAACCAATGAAAATAATACAAGTGCCAAGCTTATAGGGTCTGGGCAGGTTATAGCTGAAATAATGAAACATAAAGGTTTAGGATACAGATATGTGGGAAATAACTAGCAGGTGGTAGTGATTCACAGCCAAAAATAGTGCCTCAGAGCAACCCCTACCCCACCTGTGCCCAACATACAACCATCATGCACTCTCCTCATGCATGTGCATGAACGTGGGGAGGCAGCGGGCAGCAGCCTTAGATGCTGGCAGCACAGCGAGCCATAAATACCCAATAGCAGACACAGGCTAGGCTTCCTCACCCCTCAGAACATTTTAGGTCAGTGGCTCTGGTGAGCACATAGGGGTATCCACAGCAAGGAATCTCAGCCAGGCAGCAGTATCGTGAGCTGAGCACCATTATCACAGAGGACTGTATAAACAGCCTTCCTATTATAGAAGAGCCTCGGTGTCCAGCACCCTCCTGGGTGGAGGCCCTCCTGGTGGGCCCTCAGGGCTGTGGGAAGTGCAGACCATGTGGCTTGGAAGCAGCTGTCTAAGTGCCCCCATGTCCTCCAAGTGCCTCCAAATGGCTGGCTTTCTCCCTCTAACCAACCCACAGTATTATGTGGTTCGAGGGCCTCCAAAATTAAACCACTGCTAAGCCACCCCCGGCTCCTTTGCTAGCCCTGGCTCTGACACTCCTCGGGGTTTGGGAGAACTGGCTGCCCCCTGGGAAACACTCAGGCCCAGCTAATTCTGATGCAATTGGGTATCAACTGCGATTCTTGAGGTTTTTTTTGTATTTTCTTCCACATCCTTTCCCATCTCCCCACCACTCACCCCTGACACCTCTTATAATCTCCAGGAGTATCAGAATTCCTGCAGGAAAAGCCCCACAGGCTTTCAGTGAGGAGTTCTGCTGCTCTGGGTACCATGTCTGGAGAGTCCAGGGAGTGGCACCAGGGAGAGAAGGAAGTCACAGTAGGTAAAAGGTTCAACCTGTCAGTCTCCAAAAATGTGTTTCTAAACTAGCACTCAGCCAGGGCTGCCCAGTTTCAAAAGTAGCAAAAGAGAAATGATACTCAGTGAGCCTTTGCCATAGCCAGGGCCAAACCATCATCTTCAGTTAATAACTACAATGATACTGATCGTGTGTCACTATGTCGATGGCACAGAGGAGGCAAAGGAAACACTGAGGAGCTGTCACTTGTCCAGGGACACAGACTCAAAACGAGAACCCCAAGGGGCAGAACCAGAACTCAAATGTCAAAATCCAGTTCTGCTTGCCACTAAAACGAGTGTTTCCACCCCCACTTCACCCTACTGTGTCTGTAATAGATGACCTTGGTTTTACAAGGCCCACTCAGGAAGGCAGTGCTGGGGGTGGGGGGATTCCACTCTTAAAACAAGGAAACTAGAGGTTGGTGGTCAAGAGAGCAAAACCCAATGGAAGTCGAAAGCCTGTGTGAGCAAGGAACAAGAACTAGGGAGCTAGCAAAACCAATGCTGAGAGCACCGTCTGAAGCATCCACAAAGAATGTGTTAAAATAATGTCTCTTTTTTTTTAAATGTAAAAATGATGGTGGGATGGGGAGGCTGAGGAAGGAGGACCACAAGTTTAAAGCCAGCCTCAGCAACTGAGAGAAGCCCTAAGCAACTCAGTGAGACCCTGTCTCTAAATAAACTATAAAAGAGAGCTGGGGATGGGGCTCAGGGGTTAAGCTCCCCAGGGTTCATTCCTAGTAAGGAGGAAAAAAAAGAATGCAAAGTAAATTCCATTATGAACAAAATATCAAAAAAGTTTAAATCCAGACAGTGTCAGCAACGGTGCTATGTCAAGCCATGCTGGAGTCTTGGGCAACAGGAAAATGATCAGTAGTACTGATTCTGCCTCAGTTCAAATTTTTTATATTTTGCCCCTCGTAGATATTTTAGAGAGGGGGGGATTAATTTTGATTTTTTTTAAGCATTGCATCAAAATAGCCATTACCTCGATTGCTGAGTTTGGGGTGCCCTCAAAATTTCTATGCCGGAGTCAAGTGCCCCACCTTCCTCTCCTGAGCCCCTTCCCCATTTTCATGTCTTATTCAGGCACCCAGGACAGTGCCTGGCATAGAAAAGGTGCTCAAAGAAGTGTTAAGTGGAAGCCCAGATGATGTCAGAGGAAATGCCCCAATTTTAATTTTTGTTCAACTCTAAAAAGAAACCACAGCCAGGCTTTGGGGCCATTATTAGGTACATAAGAGTTACTTGAACTCAAGCACTTGTAGTACCATGACAGTCAACCTGAAAAGTGAGATGACTACCGAGTGACAAATGGGAAGGTAGGATATACAGCATGGATACAATGGGAAAAGGGGTAAATCATGAACCATGCAGAGGAGCACAAGATTTCATCACACTACTCATAATAATAATTCACGTCAATTTAGAACTTATGAATTGTTTATTTCTGAAATTTTCCATTTGATATTTTCAGACTGTGGTTGACCACAGACAACTGTACTGTCTGTCATTTGTCAGTAAAGGCATAATGATGCAAATACCCCTTCACACGGGAGAGTAAGGAATGCTGCAAAATGAAAGGATTTTCTCCAAGATCTCTCCACCCCTCTACCAACCATACAGAGATTTAGGGAAAGCACTCACATTTCCTGTAGATTTGGCAAGTCCTCAAAGCCAGCAGGGTCAATCTCAGAGAGTTTGTTGTAACTCAGGTTTCTGGTAAAGGAAAGGAAAAAAATAATCTATACTTGGCAATGTGCACCGAATTGACAAATTTTATCCTTTCCCACTTAATCCCTTCCCCCCAAAAATCCAAGCCCTCTTCCTCCTAATTCCCATTGTCTCATGCATTATTTTAAGTAACATTTTTGCTACTGAAATTTACAAATATACCTCTCCTGCCCACTTGCATCCATAAACAAGGCACTGAAAGGCAAGCAATGAATATGCCAACCACCTGAGGCAATGGATTCACGCAATATCATTTTATCACCTAACAACCTGTAAAGAATTCCTAAAGTGAGCCAGACCCCTATTCACATTAAGGTGTCCTGGTCCAAATACTCTGCACCAAATACTTTGCAAAGTCCAGGGCTATTCTTTTATACATACATGGAGTCTAACTTCCCATTCTTGTGGTTGGACATGATGTGGAGTTTCCCTGGTCGTGTGTTCATATATGAACATAGGAAAGTTCTGTCCCATTCATTCCACTGTCTTTCCTATTCCCATCCTCCTCCCTTCCCTTCATTCCCCTTTGTCTCATCCAATGAACTTCTATTCTCCCCCCAACCCTTATTATGAGTTAGCATCTGCATTTCAGAGAGAACATTTGGCCTTTGGATTTTGGGGATTTGCTTATTTCACTTAGCATGGTAGTCTCCAGCTCCAACCATTTACTGGCATATCAAGGCTATTCTTAATGACATTTTTTATTAATGTTTGACTAATGCATCAACATCAAACAGCAGTAAAGAAATGAAGAAAAGGTGGTTCAAGCCTTTTATTGTCTAAGCCAGTGGTTCTCAATCAGGAATGATTTTACGCTGAACCCCCCACACCCCCCATGGGGAGACAGCTGGCAATGTCTAGAGACATAAAGACAGAGGCGAATGGGTGGTTCTGGTGTCTGGTGGGTAAGGGCCAAGGCTGCTATTCAACATTCTACTGTGCACAGGCACTGTCCCACAACAGAAATATCCAGCCCTACGTGTCAATACTATCCTGAGACTGAGAAACCCTGGTCTAAACAAGAATTCAGGACTCAAAATTGCTCAAACGCAATTTGAGTGGTTGTTACAAAAAGAAACTACAAGATTCAGAATTACAAGGCTCTTTATGAGCACAGTATCCCCATGCCACGATCATCACACAGAAGAAGGGAACCAGGTGTTAAGACATTCACACTGGTATGAACCCTAGGCAGGGAAAGCTGGCAGAGCAGCCTTCTCAGGTAATACCAGCTGTCTCACTAGCTCAGAATCACACCTTTCTTTCCATTCATCCCCAGCTGTACCCTCCAACACCAAGAAGGGTGAGCTTCTCTGATCACAGCCTCAACCTAGACCAGCTTCATCTTTTGGGGACAGAAACCATGAGATGTGATCTCCAAATCAGCCCCAGCTTCTCACTCCATACTCCTGCTGCAAAAGTTAAGTCCACCCAGCCCGAGCAGGCCAAAGTGGTTGACGTTTCTCATTTCAGCTATTCATTCCACTGACATTCCTGACAATGAGCAGCCCCAGTTATCAGGAGTTTAAAGTCTGCCTCTGAAAATGTCACCTAAGTGGCAGCTATCTTTTAAGGTTACTCCAGAGACATTTCAATCAATACTAACCTAGAACTGAGAGCCATTTCCCTATAACATGGAAGACATTCATCTAAATAAAAGCCAAGCTGCACTGGAAACTAATGGTACCTCTGTGTTTGTGTCACAGCCTGAATTAAAGGCCATATGTCCAGAAATTAAGAGGCCGTAAAGACTGAAGGTGGTAACTTTTAAAAAATATTTTTAGTTGTAGATGGACATAAAAATAAATAAATAAGCAAACGTGTTATGTGGTGCTGAGGACTGAATGCTGAGTCTCACACTTGTTAGGCAAGCACTCTGCTGCTGCGCTACAGCCCCAGCCCAGGTGATAACTTTTAAAGCCAGATACTGAAGTCAAGTGCGGGCTTGCTTGTACTCGGGGGTATTTATCAATGGGTAAATAGAAACCAACAGGCTAGAACTGAGAAAGAAAACCCACAAAGGGAGAATTTCTCATGTCAGAAAAAGGACTGAGATTTTCTTCTACTCTGAGTGGATTATCATGGCAGGTGAAGGGGATGGTGGCTACCATTTCTACAGGTAAAGATACGGCAAGCTTCAAGCTATAATTCATGTCATCACAGGCAACTTGAGAGATGACCTGGAGGAGACATGAGAGAAGGGCTCTCAGAAACCATGGAAGCAAGAGATGCAAAGAGCGGATACTTCATGCAGCTGGCAAAATGACCAGGACACCAGCACACTTAACAGTTGACATTTGCTCTCCATTTCAGAAAAAAGAGCCAGCATAGGTAAATCTTCTTCATTTTCCAGAAAGGCTCAAAATATGAATTCTTACGGGAAATCCTTTGTTTTTGGCGGG